CATGGGTAAAGTTGAACCAATTGTCTTCCATGTTTAGTCGCCCATAATGTAATATTGCTGTTTCTTGGAGCATAGACAGAAATGCTCACCATTAGATATCAGTATCTTCCTTCTCATCCTCATCAGCATCTTCTTTATCTTCATAATCTTATTTGCCTTCTTTCTTTTTTTCGTCTTCATCTTTTCCAATTCCGTATGAATATATTTCACCTTATCTCGAGTCGGACGAATAAAAAACATGAACAGAACTCCCACTCCTTCCCAGTTTCAGATATCACCATAAAGAAGATAAGAATCAAAATGGAAAATCAGAGAGAGAGAGAGAGAGAGAGAGAGAGAGAGAGAGAGAGAGAGAGAGAGAGATAAAATATCAAATACTGTTTTTTGTGTCGATTTTTTTTCCTCCTACATGATACAGAATCTGTTCAGAACTCTTTTTTCTTCTCTGTCTTATCTTCTTGACCAACATCTCATATTTATTCAAAAGAAACTCAAGTGAATTACATCTCAAGAGTTTCAGGCTCATTTCAGATTCACCTTAATATTCATCATTCAATATTCATATCATCAAGCATCAAGCAGATAACAAAGTGAAGTAAAGTCAACAGTCACCAATATATGTACATAAATACACCACCAAGTTACACTTGGAATCCATCATCAGATGAAAGCATCATTATCATGAAAAACGAAAACCTCTTAGTCAGAACTTTTTTTTCACACTTAAAACTCCACCATTGAGGCGAATGCCTCTCTCTTCCTCTCCATCCTATGAATACTCTTGATCCAATATATACACAGATAAATATCATTACCATCACGATTGTCAGAGAAATCAAATGAGAATTATTTATGTAACAAAATTATTTCCAACGAAAGAAAATTCGAAAGAATCTGAATAAGTTCTTGAAGATTTTCTGCTCTTTCTCTCTCTTCGATCTATCTCTTCGACTGAACATCTCATGATAAACTTGCTATTCTTTCAGGTAAAAGGTTTTTTTTAGGTTAGTCTTTTATATGATTTTCTTATCTCTTCCATGCAACATTGAGTTGGAACTTTTTTCCTCTCTCTTCAAACCAGGAAACACTTTTACTATTCAATCCAATATTCTACACATTTTCCTCCTTCCACTATCCACCTGACTCTTTGCTTTCATAACTTTTACTCTGTGTGGTGTTTGTTTACTTGGTGAGTTTACAAGATGAGAATTTTTATTCTCTAAAATTTCGTTTCTTTTCCTATCGAAATTTTTAAATGAATGTTTTGAGAGAAGAAAAAATTGATCGAAAACTTTTCATCTTCATAGAAAAAAAGAACAAGAACTTTTTGCTCTTTAACACTTTGCTACTATTCTGCAATCATTTTCATCTTTCTCGTTTCATTCCAACCAGGAAAAGTTCAGTCTAAAGAGAGATAATATCGCTCGATGCTGTCTCTCTCTCTCTCTTCGATCTATCTCTTCGACTGAACATCTCATGATAAACTTGCTATTCTTTCAGGTAAAAGGTTTTTTTTAGGTTAGTCTTTTATATGATTTTCTTATCTCTTCCATGCAACATTGAGTTGGAACTTTTTCCTCTCTCTTCAAACCAGGAAACACTTTTACTATTCAATCCAATATTCTACACATTTTCCCTCCTTCCACTATCCACTCCGACTCTTTTGCTTTCATAACTTTTACTCTGTGTGGTGTTTGTTTACTTGGTGAGTTTACAAGATGAGAATTTTTTTATTCTCTAAAAATTTCGTTTCTTTTCCTATCGAAATTTTTAAATGAATGTTTTTGAGAGAAGAAAAAAAATTGATCGAAAACTTTTCATCTTCATAGAGAAAAAAAAGAACAAGAACTTTTTTTGCTCTTTAACACTTTGCTACTATTCTGCAATCATTTTCATCTTTTCTCGTTTCATTCCAACCAGGGAAAAGTTCAGTCTAAAAGAGAGATAATATCGCTCGATGCTGTCTCTCTCTCTCTCTTATATCATGTTGTTTGATAACTCTGATTATAATCTCATGATGATTCAAATAATATCCTGAATCATTCCCCTGTCAATATTGGCTAATCTGCTTTTCATCTGAAACTTTCATCTTCTGTTTACATCAAATCTTATTACATAATCAATGGGTCACTTATAACTTCATTCATGATACATGATACTTGATAAAGATTCAGAAATAATAATGAATATTCAGATTATCGAGATAAAATTTAGGTTCTCAGCATAACTATTAATATTAGACAAGTGAAGGTTAAACGTTAGTGTATTAAATTAAAATCATCAGTGAAACTTTCATGAAGTTTTTTATTGTTGTTTGTCAGACCCGTGGTTTGTTGAAATGGGAATCGTTTTAACAAAAAATTCCAAACTAAATTCTTCTTTCTCACTACTCTCTTTTCTTTCTTTCCTCTCTCGTCCCATTCTTTCTCATCTCTTCCTTTTCTTTCTTTTATCTTTTCTTCTTTCTTTTTCTTTTCTTCTTCTCTCGTCTCTTTTTTCTTTTCATCTTCTCTCTCTTTCTTCCTTTTTCTTCTTCTTATTCTCTTTCTTTTCATCTCTTCTCTTTTCTCCCCTTCTTCTTTCTTCTTTCTTCTTTCTTTCTCTCTTTCTTCTTCTTTTCATCTTTTCATCTCTTCTCTTTTCTTCTTTCTCTTGTCTTTTCTTTCTTTCTTCTTCTTCTCTTTCGTTCTTCTTCTTTTGAAATACGCTGTAAAATTAACTGCGCATGCGTACACAAAATCTTTGATTCAGAATTTCTCATGAACGGCTATTCAGATTTTGTTCATCATTTTTCGCTACTGTAGTATTTTCCGTCTATTTTTTGGTACCTCAACATCTCATAGAATCCTTTTATCTTGAGCTCAATCTTTACCCAAAATTTGAGCTTATCTTATTCAAGTTTGTAGATTGTCTAACTATCAGATGGACAATCAATTTACCTATTGATTGATTCATATTAACAGTTAACAATTAATGGTAGGTATTAAATTCACAATCAAATAAAACAAATTGATCCTTCAATCTTGTCAATCCTTTTTCTGTAAAATTTATTCATTCAAAAGGTTGACAAGATTGTTTTTTCTCCCACCCAAACCCTTGATGAAGATTAATCAATATCACTTAGTCACTAATCTCACCAGATTAAATGAGTAGAAACAACTTAACAATTAATCTTAACAGATAATTATTATTATTATCATTTTCTAGAGGGGGAAAACTATCATTTCAAATTAAGATAAATGCTCAGGGAGTGAATGGAGAGACAAGAGATAATCAATTTTGACCAACAACGATAATCATGATCATATTTCAATGATGATCATCATTATATTATAATCAACTTTTCTAGCCCAATACAAATTACTTTTTAATCATCAGATCAACAATTTAGTCTAAGTTGTTGATACCAAAATGATAATAGTATTATTATTATTATCACTGATTAACATGGTAAAGTAATAGATGGAAAAGTTTTGTGACAAAAATTTCAGTTTCAATTGAATGATAATCATTGAGAAATATTATTTTTTTTCAGTGAATCAACACTCAGCTAGTTGTTAGATGATGAACAAGACTATTAAATTGCTGGTTAATCCGATTAGAGTCGCAATTCAATTGGTATAAGTACAGAGTGAGTTAACAAGTAGATAGATAATATATCTGAATAACAAGAATTGGAATCAAATCCTTGCCTTTACTTTATCCTCAACTTATTTTCAGGGGAGTTTATATAAAGTTGAAACTCGAAAAAAAAAGAGGATGAGGATGAGGATGATGAGAATGAATCATTTGGTGATAAATAAAGTTCACCATGGAATTGAAAACGATAAAAATAAACTTCCAAAGGGGAGAAAATGAGGCGAAAATTTTGATTTTCGAATTCTCACTTTTCTCTCTCTCTCTCTCTCTTCATCATTTTCACCTTCTTTCTTTTTCTTCCTCCTCATCCATTTTCAGATACTTTATTTTTACTAATAGTTATTTCAGAATCATCATCATGATAAATTCAGTCAATGAATTGAAAGCTCATGATTCACTTGTCATGAGGAGGGAAAAGTATCAACACTTTTGATTTTGTTTCTGAAAATCTGATATAAGATGAAAATATTATTATTTTATTATCGATAATCAGAATTTAGGTTTTAACGGAAAAATTTTCTTCCATTTTCATTCATTGAACTTTTTTCATGAGATATTTTTCTTTCAGAATTTGTCCCAATCCCCCTTTTCCCTGTTTCTATGTCAAATTTAATCAGTGATAACTTGTTGTCTTTTTCATAGCAAATTGAATCAAAATGAAGAAAAACAAAATCTGATACAATTCTTGTGGTTACAAAATAATAGATTAGTTGAATTCTGGTGAAATCGATGCATTGAAATTCAATTGAGTAATTTCATCAATTCAGTGGGTGGTGGTTATAATAGTTTAAGCCTGAAAGATAAACAAAAAGTTCAATGTTTAATTGGAATTCATTGAGTAAACAATTTATACTCATTAACCTTTATTCAACAATTGATTGTATCTTATAAACATTGATGGTTACATCTTATTGTAAATATTTGGTTTAATCAGGTAGATGATGATGAAGACAATGATAATCATCATCATGATGATTTTACATAGTCATTCAGTTATAATGATGATAATGAGTATGATGATGAAATATACTGATTGAAACAAAAGATTCCAACTGACCGGCAATCTAATTTCATGGTAGTCTGATTTTATTCACGTTAATCCTTTTTTATTCATACTCTGAATCTCTCATCATTTACATGATAAAATCATACACTTCCATTACCATCACCACCTCATCACTTTTATACCCTGGAAAGTTTCACATGGCTTTAGGTGTGATTGTCAGTTGATGGTCAAATATGATAATAATAATACCAAATTCTGTATATGTACAAATAATCAACACGAATTGATCAATAATTTGATTAGTTAATCAATTAGATATAATTTTATCTCATTTTACTCTTGATTATTTGTTCAGATTGAAACTATTGGTGATGCTTATTGTGTCGCTGCTGGACTTCATCGTCCAAGTGATTTCCATGCCCACCAAGCTGCATGGATGGCGTTGAAAATGATCAATGCAGTTAACACAGTTTTATCACCCACCGGGTCACCATTACAGGTAATTAACTACTAATTCATTGATTGTTAAAGGCTAATTGTTTAGGTCAATTTAATCATAAACAAATTGGTGCAAGTGATGGTGATGATCAGTTTTCTTTAAGCATCTCGTATATATTATATGTTATTCAATTATTCTAGATGAGGATTGGACTTCATACTGGTTCAGTTTTGGCGGGAATTGTGGGCATTAAAATGCCTCGATATTGTCTATTTGGAAATAATGTTTCCCTTGCAAACAAATTCGAGTCTCGAAGTGAACCAATGAGGATTAACATAAGTCCAACAACTTACAAGTAAGTGTCCCTTACGTTCAATATTACATAAGTTCAATAGTTTTAGATTATCAATTCATCTATCATGATTATCATTATTGTTATTGAATAGATTATTAGAATAACGATATTAAAATGAATTTGTATCCATCGGTCAACGACCAATTCATTTATATAATGTTATTATCATGATCAAAATTGATCACCATGAAAGCTAAACAAATACTCATGTTACTATCTGAATAATAATTTTGAGATGAAATTATTGTTATTCATTGGATTATCTTTATTTTTTTTGTTTGTTTGTTTCTTTCATTGTTTCTGCTCATTTACCTGAATTATATCCAATCAATTGATCTACTTGACATTTCCTTAAGACTTTTGAGTATCCGTCCTGGTTTCAAGTTTACCGAGCAATCTCGAGAATGTCTTCCACCCGGTTTTCCACCGGAAATTCCTGGTAACGGTTATTTTGTCGACGATTATAAACACACGGGAGTTGACCTTTCAGCGCCATTGAGTGAACACATTTCTCGAGCTTTGATTGATAACCAGATCACAATTGGAACGATCCAACAACAAAATCAAGATGTAATCGATATTATCACCGGTGCAGCAACAGCAACAATTAAAAATGAAAAGGTAAAACAATGTGATGAAGACAAATCCACCATCAACACCATCACTTCAACACCAACACCAACATCAACATCAACACCAACACCGAAACCAACAACAACACCAATCACAATATCAACACCAACCGGTTGTCCAATGTTTTCAAGTTCATTTAAACCAATGAACATTAATTTAATCAACAAGCCCAATGAGAGTAAAAAATAAACTCATTCAACATCTAATCAGTGACAATTAACTTGAAAAGACATTGTTAAACTACAGAAATCAAGTGAAAACAGTTAAATCAACTAAATTATCAACTAATTAAACACTTTCATTAACAATCTTCAACTTATAACTTGTTATTAAACCAATGATAAAAATGGAAACATAAAAAATGCATTAGCATTATATTATCAATTACAGTTACCTGATTATATGATAACGATAATATCACTATCACTCATCTTCATCTTCATCATCACCAACACTATTATTATTATTATTACAATAGCTTTTATTACCAATTGATTAGTTTTACTTAACTTATTAATCACTAATCAATAGCAATCATGATAATAAAAGACAAAGAATCAATAAAATCAAAGGTTAATGCACCGTTAATGGAAACACCTTAGATAGTAACAATTAACTGGACACATGAATACACACACAATTTAATTAAATGTTTTTAGGGTTAATTATCATTAATTATGATCAACTGATTTATCTAATTGAATCCCCTTTGTATCAATAAATCCCTTTAAATGTTATAACGAATCCTTTACCCTTAATTTTAACTGTTACAATTAACTAACTACTATTAATGATTAAACTTTTATCCTAATTCTGTATCCATATAATATTTACAAACCAAATCAAAAAGCTAATTGTTTTAATCCCAATAATTAAACAAACTAAAAGTTATTCAACTGATTAAAGACAATTAAAGATCAAAGTATAATAACTTGTTAATCATTTTGTTTAAAATTGATTGATTTTCATTTTTAATTACAAGGGAATTAATTAATTTTATAAACTTTTTTACACAATTAGATTTAACAAAAATGTTAATTGTCCCACTAATTACAATTAAAAAAATTTTACGCCATTTAAATTAACAATAATAATTTGATTGATATATTGCATCTTAATTGTAAAGGCAGTGTGAATGTTAATCATTTTAAATAACCACTAAAACTACAACAATTAGTTAATTGATCCTAATTGTCATCATGTTTTTTTTTCTTGTTTCAATATAATACAACTGTCAGGAGTAGTTTAATTTAGTTAAGGTTAAATTGTTGCGATATTAATTTGAATAGCTGTTAACACCTTAATCAAATTGCTGAGATCATGATACAAATGATTATTGTTAATTACATATAATAATTGTAATTGTTTTGGCTTCAGGGTTTAATTGTTATATCACATTGTGCATTTTTGTCAATTGTTTTGTTGCTGTTGTTTTTGTTGACTAGTCAAGATGATGATGATGGTCAAGGAAGATAGTGGGGGGGAGGTGGGTTAGGTTATCTATTGGTCAGTTTAATTGGTATTGTCCTTGTTTTCCTTGTTCTCATCATTTATCATATTCACCTCCTCATCTTCATGGGCGGTGGATTCTGGTGTGTCCGGTTTTCGTGATAAAAAGTAAACCATCATTGGGTCAGTTTTACCTTTCATGGTAACTGGACCCCGAAGGGTGAAGACAAAACTGTCATCTCTATTGTCCTCATCTTGGAGTAACTTGTAAGCAACCTCGGAGACATTAATCCTACCCGGTGATCCGGTTGTTTCGGTTCGACTGGTTAGATTAACGGTATTACCAAAAAGACAATAACGTGGCATCCGACGGCCGATAACTCCGGTCACTACTTCACCTGAATGAATTCCAATAGTTACTTGCTAAGAGGAAGATAAAAGAAAAATAGTAAAAATTGAATGAGAAACAAAAGATGAATGAATAAATTGGAAGAAATTAACTTACTACTTCATCAATGTCTTCGGTTTTTACGGTTTTCGATAAGTCCATAATGTCCAAGGCCAATTTAGCGATACAACGAGCGTGCGATGGACAAGGTTGAGGTAATCCACTGACCGCCATGTATTTATCACCAACAGTTTCAACCTTTTAACATGAATACATGTAAACAAATTAATATTATTATCCAATGAGAAAAGTAAATTCGAAAAGTTCTAAACTTTTATTTCTTACTTTGTAAACATTTGGATTCTTTTTGGGATCAGTTAGAACATCGAAAGTTGTATAAATACAGTTGAGAAGTTTTACGATTTTCATGGCTCCTTTGGCATCAGAATTTTTGGCACAAAATGAACTAAACCCAACGATTCCACTGAACAGAATAGTAACCGATTCATACTTTTTAGCATTAACGGGTCGCCCGTGTCGAAGTTCATTGGCCACGGAAGGAGGAAGAACTGAATAGAGAAGACAATCAGTTTTCTTTTTCTCTTCTTCTAATTCTCGATAAGTTTGTTGAAGTTTATCGGTTAAAATTTCCAAATTCTTGGTCAATTCGTATTCAGCCTCAAATTGTTCAGAAAGTAGAACCAAATCTCGAGTTGCATCATGAAGTGGAATATCATCAAGGTATAAACCTTGATTGTTCAAATCTTCAAGGTTAACAACTGAAGGTGAACACAAGAAAAGGACCAGGTCATTTTCGGGTACATGTAACATTTGTCCTTTTAACCTTAATCTAATAGATAAATGGGTAGACCACAAATATTTACATTGAAATGTTATATTTACGGATGTAGGTCACTAGGTAATGAGAGGTCACTTACTTTACACATGATGTTTTGAATGGACAATTGTTGCTTGGAGCATTGGTTGTTGTTGTTGATGATGATGGAGATCGAGTGGAAACCATATCGGTAATAGTTCTTAGGACAAATACCGTATTAATATGAGAGAGAATGTTATTAAAGGTAAATTCCATGTGAGGTCGAATCATTTCAAAGACACTGTTCACTCGGCAAGAAGTCAATTTAAGCGCTGGTAAAACACGGGAGATTGATGAGCCAGCCTATTGTCCAGCGATTAATAGATATTGAACACAATCACCAAATCGAAAACACCAATTGGTTAATAAATTATTCAACTTAAATCGAAATCAGGTATTAGAATTGATATTTGCTTACCTGTTTAACTTTCAAATTAGAGTCAAAGATGAGGTGAAAGGGAAACGCTTTACAAAAAGTGACCGGACTTATCCGATTGTCCAGATTAAGATATTCAAACTCTTCGACCAATGGTTCGGCTATTCGTTGACCATTAGAACATTTCTCTTTGATACTAAACTGGACATGGTCCATACCATTTTCTTTGGTGGCAATTATTTCAACCTCAACTTCCGTTCCGTGTAATTTACTGGCCACCGCTTTCACTATACCGATAACGATATACTCGAGGCCAGCGCGTTCAGAATAATAATGAAGTATCAAAGCACCATCTTCAATACGTTCAGTACAACGGAAACTTGGAGCTCTCATACCTGGATAACAATTAACGAGCACAATTAAGATTTACCAAATAATCAATTCAATTATCACTAAATGTTATTCATAATTTATAATAATAATAAAAAATTCTCAAGAATTAAATGTTTCGTGTATGATTAACTAGCTTTTCATATTTAATTGTTACCATTTGATCAAAGGTAAATGAGACGTTAACAATTAAAATAAATGGGTTAATAGTATTTCTTATGATTAAATTGTAATTTACTTTCATGTTCAACTTAATAACTTTAGTATGAATCAACTTGAATGTTTTCCTAATGAGAACCAATTAATTAATCATAATCTAAACTGATTCGAACTCTTTTTTCTCGAACTTAATTAAAATGGCAGATTTATCCTGTTATTAATTGTTAATTGACTAACATGCGATCTGTTGTGTAATGTTGTATAAAGATCAATATATTATCGGTGACGATAATTACCTGGATAAATTGTCGCTAAATGGTCGTGAAGAGCGTCCAAATTCTGGAGAAAATCTCTGGGTGTGGCTCCTAGAACTTGAAGAATTTTATCGTAACCCGATTCTTGGCAGAAATCGAAAAACATTCGACCGAAAAGTTCCAGAATTTCATTCGCAGGAATTTCTGTTGATAAGATGAGAATCACATTGAGATTGGAAATACTATCAAGACACACAGAGAATTAACTGTGAATATTAGTAAATAGATAATCAAAGTAATGGTGAAAAATCAGCAATCGAATGAAAAAAATATTAGTCAAACAGAAACTCGAAAAAGTTCAAGATAATCTTAATGACACTTATCATGTTCATGGTAAATAAATAGTCTGTTTATAAACAAGAGTTGATATTAATTTTTTATCATCTTCCAGGGTAAGAGTATGGACCTTAACAGGGTTTTTTTTATCAATTCATCTCATGAACTTGATAATATCAACATAAAGTTTTCATCATCCTAATGGATTCTCTTTCCTTCATCATCATTTTGACGATGAAAATGAAATTCTATCGTAAATTGTTGAACCTCTTTGTTTTTCCATTTCTCTATGTGAATCCAGAACTTTTCAGTTGATCATCTTATTTATTTTTTCATCAACAACAATTTTTTACTTCTTCAGTTCATCTTCGTCATTCACTTCATGAAATGAAGTTCAGATTTCTTATAATTCTTGTTAAACTGAGTAAAATAAATGAGAAAGGAAACAAATATCATTGGTAAATTTTTCTAAAGGTGACAAGTTATTAATTATCGTTATGATTTATCGTTGATAGAAGGTTAGGAAAAATTGGAGAAAAGATAAAAACTCCAAGTAAATCTCGAGTTTTCTGTTCACGAAACTTTAGTTTAGTTTTTTTCTCTCTTCTCTTAGAAACCTGATCATGTTTTTCCATTCGAAAAGGTGAAGATTTTCATTAGAGAAAAGGATAAAAGGAGATCAGTGAGTATGGAAAATGTAACATAAATGAGAAAAGAAAATAATCGAAGAGAGAGAGAGAGAGAGATGATAATCTAATAAGAATTCGAAACATTTACTCACTCAGAACTTTTTCGGCAGCTCCAATGAGATTGTAAGTGTTTTCATCATCGTAAATCAATCGAACCAAAAACGAACCTTCCATTTCGATTTCAGCTTCCTTCCTACAAAGAATCAGATTCATTCGATGGTCAATTAATTGGTCAATTAATCAAGACTTTAATATTCTCAAGTGTCTAAGACAATCATCATCTCTCATCAAATCACTCATAACAATTTCCAAATGAAATTATCATTAACCAAAATTTCAGATAATCTTGATAACCGATAATATCATTGGATATCTCAACCAACCTCATCAACTCTCAAATTGCAGTTAAATTTTCATGATAATTCAATGGATAATCTGAAATATAAACAATCTAAACATAATATATTCACTAAATCATCATATCAATATTATTGATTGTTTGATTATACTAAAAAAAAGGGATTACCTTAAGTCGTTGATTGTAAATGTACAAATTGTTTGTTTACTTTTCTTATATCAACAACAGTAAATAATCATGCGAATGTCACAAATCATTTGATTAACTTATCAAACTAATTAAAAGTTAATTGTTGATTAATAATCTAATGATAATCGTAACAAGAGGAAGGAAAAGGAAAAGTTAAATTGTTACAATTTACTTACTTAATTGTCTCCCAAACTTCATTACCAAAATTACGGATAACAAGAAGTTCCAACGCATGATTAACAAATCCGTACTGATTGTTGCAATTAAATTAAATCAGATGAAATGAAAGAAAGAGACAAAAATAACAATTAATTAGATCGATAGAAACAATTAATATGAGAAACCTAATCAAACATTTGACAAATTTGGTGAATATATTGATCAATGTAATCGATTAATTTGATGATTACCATTTTCGTTTAGTATTTGGATGGATCAGAGAGAGAGAGAAAGAGATTATCTCAATCGGGATTAATTAGATCACTAAGGAGATGGATTAACGATCCAAAGAGTGAAAATGTCAATGAGAAACAAATAACGGACACACTGAGATAATCGTAGAGATTGATAATTAATTGAATTAATCACAAAATTAAACAACACGAAAGGAGAGAGAGAGAGAGGAAGAGGAAGAGAAAGAGAGATGATAATTATCACAAAGTAATTAAGAAGAAAATCAAATAACCGTTTGAAGATTAAAACAAGTGAAAGATAAACAATCCTTTTATTTTTCCTCTTCTCTGGTGGAAAAAGATAAAGATTTTTATTTTTTTTTCTCTTTTACTTAAAAGAAGATGGATTAAGCTTTACAATTTAAGCGAAATTTATGATGATGGTGATTAAAGGTGAGAATGATGATGATGATGATGATGATTAGGCGTTGATGAGATACGATGATAATTATTACAAAAGAAAAAGACTTTCGAATGGATAAAGTTCTAAGTTAGATCATGATACATGTAGAATTCGTGGTGGTGGTAAAACTGTGTGAGAGAATGAGAATGAAACGAAAAAGAGAATTTTCTTGGTCGAAGGTGAGAGAGATAGAAAAAGAGAGAAAGAGAGAGAGGGAGAGAGAGAATTACATGCGTGATCATTTTATCTCATTCTTTTTTTGTTTGTAGTAGAAATTCAATGAAATACTTTGATTGGAAAACACTAGATGGAAGTCGCATTCTCTTCTGAGAATCGTATGCACTTTTTTTTCCTTCGACAAGGTTTACACCAACTCGCCTGTTGCTCCAACCCGAATCGAGCTCGACACTTTTTCTGTGAACCTTCACCTTCGCTGGTTTTTTCTCGATTTGTTTTCTTTTTCTTTTTCCTTATGGCATAATTGTCTTTGGCGGTCCAACATGGATACTGCTCTCGATGAGCATCACGTGCTGATTTAGCTTTCTCATAATATTTGGCTTGTTCTTCGGGACTTAACAAGTGCCAATTTTTACCTAAAATTTGATTAATCGTTGCGGACTCTTTACGAGTACTTTGAGCTGCAACAGCGGCTCGATTTTCCTTCATGTACAACATGAAAGCGTTTAAAGGTTTCTTAATATTGCTAAAGTTGATTAGACTATTATGTTGATCACCATGATCGTGTTGATCACCAGAAAGTGAGACACGATCATGTTGATCAATACGATCATTTGAATCAACATTATTACGATCATGTGGCTCTTGTGAATGATGATGATGAGAGTGGTGGTTAAGGTTATGATGGTGGTGGTGGTGGGGTGTTGACGATGAGAGGATAGATGATGTTGAAGATGAAGATGCAGAAGATGCTGAAGATGTTGATGAGGTTGACGATGAAGATGGAGGTGGTATTAAACTTGGATGGTGAAGATGATGGTTAAACTGATGATGATGGTGGTGATGATGATGATGGGGTGGTGGTGGTGAATAAAACAGTGAACGAGGTGGTAATGGTGGATGAGCAGGAAAATTTGAATGAAGATAAAGCGGAGGTGAGTAAAAATGGTAAGCCGGCGGAGGAAACCACCTAGAAAACGAGAGGGGAATCCATTTGTGAGCCGGTGGTTGAAGGTAATGGTGGTAAAGATGCTCGGACACGAGACGATCTTCCTCACCTTCATATTTAAACTCAATTATTTCATCTCTCGAAGCAAGCTCATCATTAGACATCGTGGTCAAGGTGAGAGAGAGAGAAAGAGAGAAACCACAAAACAACAACAAAACACTCTCACAATGAGAGAGAAAAACACAAGAAAACACTCAGTGAGAGGGAGAAAAGAGAGAGAACCAAAAAACACACAAAGAGAGAGAGAGATCAAGTTAAACAAACAACGAGGTTCAAGCGTCGCGTTGCCACTGCCGATTCCGGGCAAGCAACAGGGAGACACTTGAGCTCCCTCTAGTGCGAGAGTTCGCCGCATGCGCAGGGAATTATCATCATCTTCGTCATCCTCATCATCTGATCATCTTCTTCATCATCATCAGAAGTTGTAGAAGAAAAAAAAAAGCCGATGATGATGAAGATACGTGAAACCTTTTAAGGGATAATCCAATATGATGATTATATTGGATTTGGAGAGACAATCAACTTAATCTTCTCGTTATGATGATGATGATGATGAAAGGATGATGATAGATGAAGATAAGGGATGAGAGAGAGAAAGAGTGACTTTCATTATTAATAATATGATGATCGTAATTCCCATTGATATGATATGTTAGATGGACCAACAATTAAACGATTGGTAACAATTATATCAATGGAATCGCAATCAACTGATCAGTTGATTAAATGTGAGTTTGTTTTCATTTTCTTGTCTCATTCATAATTAAGTTAATCTACTTTTGTAAATTGTAATCCATTCAATTAGTTGATAGTTGTGTTTTTAATTAGATTTGAATTTGATTCTTTTCATTTTTTTTTCTTCTTGATCTTGTTAACAAGTTAATCAAATTAAATCTCATTTGATTTACTAAAAACCTAAATTGTTTGATAACAATTTAATTTCATCATCAAATTTTGATTGTTTGTTTTGTCAGATTCAAGACTGTCCTCTGATCATCATCATCATCATCATCAAGTTAATTGTGATCACAATGAATTTAATCATATTGATCAGCAAGAAATTAGATCATCGCCTACAATTGACTGTTCAACGATATTTAAAAAAAAGTTAATCAATCAATTAGATTCAAATGATTTACTAATACAAACACCGAAACTTATTGATTGTTATCAGTGTTTCTCTGAGGATAATTTTAATCAGCCGGATAATCTTGTAGATGGATTAAATGAATCATCTTCATCAACAAATCTACACAATCCAGTAAATCATTATCATGATAATCTAAATTCAGGAAAACTATTCCTACAATTATCATCATCGTCTTCATCTTCATCTTCACCATCATCATGTTCACCCTCACCAAATGAAGGTACAATCATTTCAACATTAAATCAATCAACTGACCATTGGCTACCAATTGAATTAACATCATCATCATCAGAATTAAAATCAACAACAACAACAAGTTCAACATTAAATTGTCCTGGTTCATCAATCAACCAATATACCAATAGTAATTTTAACAATAGTAAATTAAGACGCAATCATCATCATCATCATCATGAGGATGTTGGTGAAAGTGGATTAAGATTAGATAATAATAACGATTCAATTGAAACTCGTTCAAATGATTGGATTAATAGAAACCAACCAATTGATCAACCTAATCAACAAGGTCAATCTAACCTTCACCATCGACCTGAAGCCCAACAACAACAACCACCACATCTTCAGCAACGTAAACAACAAAGGCGATTCAGAACAACATTTACATCACACCAACAATTAGAACTCGAAAAGTCATTCCAATCAACTCAATATCCTGATATTCAAACTCGTGAAGATATCGCAGTTCAGATCAATCTAACAGAGGCTCGAGTTCAGGTAAAACTATTTTAATGATACACTTTTGTAACATTCTCATTATCACAATTTCCCCACCAATTCACACCTATGATTATGATGAAATTCACTCTAAATATCATCATCGAGTTTCATTTCAACAGGAATTGCTAAGGAATCCTCAAGGGGATCAGAGAGATTATCATCTTTCCATAGGCCTTGTTACATTTACTTATTATAACTTAATGTACTTTTACTCAAGACGATGATTCTTTCTGCAAGGTCAAGCCTCTGGTCAAGCCTAAATTAGCTTAAAAACTCTCTCACTCTCATATTATTTAGAATAGAACCTGTTCTCTGACCCTCTCTCTCTCTCTCTCTCTCTTTCTTCTTTCTCATCTTCTTCTCCCACTTTTCCTTATCTTCACTCGTAACGTGGTTGCTGTTAATAACACAACACCATCTAGTTAGTAAATCCCATCAAAAATGACCATAATCCATAAATATAATCTATTGGTCAGTTTACTTGATCATCTATCAAAAAATTAATAGTTAACCCGCCAAAACGTTTGTAGTATTAATACTTACAAGGTGATCTTACCTATTCTAACTCTTTCTTTTCTTTTACCTCCCATCAACATCACCACCACAATCACTACCATTACCACAACCATCTCCTCCTCTTCCTATTTTACATTCACCAAAATTTGACCTGAAACGTGACCTGAAACCTAAATCTCTCTCTCTCTCTCTCTCTCTGCCCAGCGAATTGATTTCAAGCAATTTATCTGATTGATCAACACACAAGATGTAATATGTATTTGCATTGATGTTCACTTGAGAGAAAGAGGAAAAAGAAGACAAAAAAAAGATCATTTTTTGTTTTTCTTTTCTAATGAAGTAAATAATAATATTGATGATATTTGATGATTGTACTTTGTGTGGCTTTTTATTGAGCATTTTCTTTCTTTCCACTTCGCTCTTCAAATCCACCCCACTCTCTCTCTCATTGAGCCTGCTCCGGATATAGGGTAAACTACATACATCTCAAGACTCACGCTGATTTCAACTCCATTAGTTTAACCTACACAGACTGTTGATGTTGTTGTTGCAATGCCATTGGTATTGTGAGCATCATCATCATCACTTGTTAGAGGTTATTTGCAAGATGAGAGAGAGAGATTCGAATTCAAGTCTAGAGAAGAAAAAAAACTAACAAGTAAAAGAGGAAAAGTCTCTCCAAGAGTTTGCTCATTTTCTTAATCATCTATCTTTTTCTCTCTCTCCATCTTCCTAGTAAATAGACTTCAAGGGGAGTTTCTCTTTTCTCACCAACAACATCATCCTCTAGGTAATCATCATCATCATCGTTACGAATCATCACGATGATAAAAACCATTCTCTCTCTCTCTCTCTCTCTCTCTCTCTCTCTCTCTCTCTCTCTCTGCAGAGTCTTCCCATTCCGAGGGAAAAAGTTGCTAAGGTTAAGCTCTATGTGTAGTTGATGGTTGAAAAAAATATACTATTTATTAAAACACTTAAAGTATCAAATTTGTTAGCTTTGAATTGATGATAGAGATGATAAGATACACAGTTTTCTCTCTCTTCTATCTTCCAGATCAGCCTTATCCTCATCATGAACATCATCATCATCACCAGGTACAAATGCTAAGGTGTGTTCAGGTCACCCTGCCATTTATAACACTCTCATTTCAACCTCTTCTCACTTTATCAAGTCTATTTAAAACTTCATCAATAACAACAACAACTTTCTTACTTCATTTTTCATCCTCATCACTATCATCATCCTCACCTTTCTTATAAATTTCTCTTCTTCATCTTTACTCTCTCTCTCTCTCTCTCTCTCTCTCTCTCTCTCTCTGCAGAGTCTTCCCATTCCGAGGGAAAAAGTTGCTAAGGTTAAGCTCTATGTGTAGTTGATGGTTGAAAAAAATATACTATTTATTAAAACACTTAAAGTATCAAATTTGTTAGCTTTGAATTGATGATAGAGATGATAAGATACACAGTTTTCTCTCTCTTCTATCTTCCAGATCAGCCTTATCCTCATCATGAACATCATCATCATCACCAGGTACAAATGCTAAGGTGTGTTCAGGTCACCCTGCCATTTATAACACTCTCATTTCAACCTCTTCTCACTTTATCAAGTCTATTTAAAACTTCATCAATAACAACAACAACTTTCTTACTTCATTTTTCATCCTCATCACTATCACCATCCTCACCTTTCTTATAAATTTCTCTTCTTCATCTTTACTCTCTCTCTCTCTCTTTTTTTATTCCAATGTCAATATCCTTTTCAAGGTTCTTCCTTCTTTCTCCACCTTCTATTTATCATCCTCATCCTCATCCTCATTTATCAATTGTCTTATTTGCCTCCTTCCTTGAAAATCATTAATTTAATTCATTAAATTAATCATCTTGATTTACCTCCATTTCTTGACTGATAATTATCACCATGAATCTTGATACATTGTTATACAAATTAAACTTGATTAGTAAACTGCTAATCAAGTTAAATACTGTTTTCTTGTGCTAATTTAAATAATAACTGTTATGATTACTTTCATGTTACATTAGTTTGACCCAGAAACAATTGCAAGTAAAGCAAATTAATCAAATCTCAAGAATAGTGAAAAAAAATCAAATCAAATTTAAGATCAATCAATCATAATCATGGAGATAAAATGAATGAATAATATTGCAAATAGTATATTTTGAAATTACAATTAATTTAGCATCATTTTATTTGGAATTGTCATCATCTTTCATCATCAATTGTCATCTTTATAATTAAATTGTGATGATGATGATAATTTGATCAACTCATTTGAAGAAGAGCAAAAAAATGAAAAAGTAACAATCATAGACTGAGAATGATGAGAAAACGTGTGACAATATAAAGAAACATGAAATACTCACTCACCTGAATTGCAAACCTTTATAATCACCATCATGATTATCATCATTAACTATTATTATTATATGATTATTGCCACAATTATCATGATTATCGTCAAATCGTCAGTGCAAGTTTACTTGTAACAACAACACAACAAATGAGAAAAGATGAAGAAAAATAAATCATAAAAATAAACATTTCCAGGTAAATTGCAGTAATCATAATCAGCTCCCAATGATGATGATGATTAAATGATGATAACACTTGATATATCAGGTTGGATGCTCTCTCTCTCTCTCATCATCATCATCATTCAAATTGTCTTCCTCTTTTGTTACCTTTTCCTTTTCTGTTACATACTCACCTTTGGTCAGTCCATCATTTGCTTGACCCTTTTGCTGTTATTAAATGTAATTGCAATTTTAGTTTTCTAATCATTGAAAACATTTATCTTTCATCATCATCATCATCATCATCATCATCATCATCCTCTGTCATCATAATCATCAACAACTTGATCATGTTGATTTGCTTTTTTTTTCAATTGCAATTGAAATGAGGAAAAAAAATAGTAGCGTCATTAGTTAACGGTAGTAATCAATTTGTCGCAAACCGATTGACTTGATTATTTGATTTGTTTCAAAGCCGATTCACCAATTAAAGCCAATGACTTTTACTACATTGTTAAATTGTTGTCTTAACTGTTAAGATGATTAAAGTTGATTAAGAAAAAAAAAGTTACTGTTAATTTGTTTGATTTTCATTTGCAGTGTTTACCGTTTCATCAAATACACTTTACGATTAAATATCGTATCGTTAACCACTTGAAGTTAATTTATTAAATCCACCGACCTCTTAAGGTTAACAATCAATCAATCAATCAATAGTTAACCGCTAATCAACATAATAATCAACACAAACACACAATCAACAATCAATGTGACTTTTTTTTTCAATTCCTCATACACAAAATCAAATCAACAAGTTGAAAAGAAACTTAATTTTTAATGGAAAATCATATTAATCTGATTAACTTTCAATTAAATTGAAAAAGCAAACAATTAAAGAGTCAATTATTTATACAATTGATAACTAAATTAAATGACAAATCCAAACTGATTGTTAATGAAAAAAGAAACGAAAGAAATACAATTCATATACTTTATCATTTCCGTAATTAGTTAATTATCTTGATGAAAGAAATGAGAGTTGATTCATCATTAATCATTATCAATTAATATGTATTGTTAATGAGAATTAATTCAATTGGTTTTTACTCATAACAATCAAATTAAAGCTCATCTTAACAATCTAACCCAAATAATCAATTGTATAATAATCGTTAACGTTAATGGTTACCAAAGTAACTTATGGATGACAATCAGTTGATTATTATGGCTTCAAGTTGATTACAATTATCATTATAATTCACTATCTTTATTGACTTTATTATTACCTTTAACTTAGGATTGATGATTAATTTGATTTAGTTTACTTTCCATCTATCAACTTTAATAGTCAGCTAATCATCATCATCATAATTAGTTTAATTATCACTGTTATTTTCAAATTTTGTTGTTGTTGTTGTTGTTGTTGTATTGATTGTTTATCTAATTGTCAATGAAAATGTTGGTGATTTTTTCCTTTCGTATTTACAATTATAAGTTGTTGGTTAAATAATTTGGCTAATTAACTAATTGTTTACTTGACTAAATCATGATCAAGGTTAATTATGTGGTTTTCTGGTTAAATTTGGGTTCATTTTTCTGGTCAATTGTTACCAATCATCATCTTAATATTACCTCTTAATGTAAACAATTTAAATGTCATCAATAAACAATCAACATTATCATTTGGAAGATAAGATTTATCATCTTTTTGTGTCAAGACTTTGTCTCTCTCTCTCTCTCATCTTTATCCTCATCTTAATCATCAAGTGGTTTCAATAAAGATGATAATGATCATGATGATGATTTAAATAACAATTAACTATTAACGTTTGAAAAGGTTACGTTAATAAATCATTTGTAGTTGGAGTAATTTCTTGCCTAATTAAATTTATATTCATTGGAAAAGTTGAGCTATTAATAATTACTTTTATTACATTTTATTAATT